AGAACACGGCCACACAGCCCGGAAGACCCACACCAGCCAGCCATTGACATGGTTTGTATGATGAATCTCTGCTAAGTGACCAGATGGAAAATTTGCAACTGGAAGAGAATCGCACACGCGCATGAGCGAACTGTTCTTTCCTCTTTTAGAATACTGGTGTGCTATGCATAAATCACAGGGAGGTGTATTTGGATAGGTAGGGCCCATTTCTTTGGCAAGATATTTTTAAAAGTAGCAGTTAAAGCATGTAGGTTTTAATCACTTTATAGGGATAAGGTACAATAAGAAGGAAATCCTTAGCTTAGTTATATAATTTTTACTGTGGTTAGTTGCTTCCAACTCTTTATGATCCTATGGACAAATTTGCCAGGATTCTCTGTCAATAACTGTCTCTTAGTTCTTGCAAGCTCCTGCTTGTGGTATCAGTGATAAGTATCTTGCTATATTGTCTTCTGCCAGCTTTTTTTTTTTATTGTCTTTGATTTTTCGAAGCACCAAGGTCATCTCCTCCTGACTCATTATTTTCAAATTATATATTGAAAATAACTGAAGCTTTAGCTTAAATTGCAGTTGTGAAATAGGCACTTATAAATCCTGGATTTAATCTCTCTTAAAAGATCTTAAAATAGGAGGATCTTAAAAGTAGCTGGATGGAGAAAGGACCATTGGTGGGCTTAAGAACTGTTGGGTGAGAGCTGGCAACTGGAACATAGTCATGAATTAGAAGCTGAATTCATTGGTAATTTTCCTGTAGGCAACTTATCGTCTTCTAGAGTCATCAAGCCAAGGCTAAGGACAGGTTTTAGATCACTTCAGCAGTGGTTGGCTGAGACTATGAAGATGCTGTAAGTCACTAGTGAGGAAATGGCCACTGCAAATATTGTTGTTGACCAGACAAGACTTAGACTGATCTGAAAACTTTTATAGGGGAGCCAATGACCGTCATGGGTGGTGTTCATGTGGATTATACAGACTCTTTATAGGTAACATCTTAGGATGTAACTCACCACAAAAGCCCTAGTAATTCCTCACAAAAAACCCTGTAATTTATGTCCTAATTTTATAAGACTTCTGAGTAAGCTAATCTCCAAGTGATTCTTTTGTACATTTGACAATAGTGATGTGTCCCTCCCTGCTGAATGAATGAGGAAGAAAAGGAGATATCAGAGGGTACTTACATCACTCTGGAATCAGCTTCAAATCATATTGATGATATACTATTGTCTCTGATAAATGATATGTTTAGTCTTTGATTAGTTGTAGTGTGATATTTTGGTAAAATTAATCTTCTTTGAACAACTGTAGCTCTGTGGAGTTTACAGGTGGTCTATTTCTCTATTTGCAGAAACCGTAGTCTCATTCTACCTTCCAGCTCCTAGATTTCAGTCTTTTTAGCAGATCTTTCAAGTGGAAAAATGATTTGATGGTTCCTTCCCCCCATATTTAGTGATTGATTGATTGATTGATTGATTATAACTAGATGGAGAGCCAGTTTGGTGCAGTAGTTAAAGGCACTGGGCTAGAAACCAGGAGACTGTGAGTTCTAGTCCCATCTTAGGTATGAAATCAGGTGGGTGATTTTGGGCCAGTCCCTCTCTCTCAGCCTAGGAAGCAGGTAATGGCAAACCATTTCTGAAAAACCTTGCCAAGAAAACTGCAAGGACTTGTCCAGGCAGTTGCAGGAGTCAAAACTGACTCAAAGGCATACAAACACACATACAAAACTAGACAGACATGCAGAAGATGAAGTAAGGACTTGGATGAAGAAGAGAGAAGGGTTTTTTTTATACTCCAGAGCTTGTCACAACTTGGGTTGAGACAGCAATTAAATGAAATTCTTTGCTCCTTGTTCTCAAAATTTTGAGGTTGGTAGAAGTGCAGACAATCCTGAATCATTTTGAAGCTTCTTTTGAGACATTGACATGTTAAAATGGTATTGGTGTGGCAGTGCCCAGAGAGAAGAAAATTCCCTACTCATAATTATTTTTCTTCCTACCTGTTGCTGGCTTTGGCTCTGTCCAGCTCTGGTATGTAGTGCCTACCCAGGTTACCCTCTGAAAATAAAGCTCTTAGATCAATAGAATTTATTATACAGTGTGCCCTGTTGAGCTAGGTGACCTAAAGATCTAACTCAGTGCTGGTGCACATTGTAGAATATGATTTCAGGTACACTTGTAGACCCTGTGTCAGAATTCCCCAGCTAGCATAAGCATTGCTGGGAGTTTAACAAATCTAGAGGAAGTCCAGGTTGGGAATGCTGTTATAAACATAGTTCTTCAAGGATGTGATAATTATTCAAAGCTATTTACATAGCTGTGACTGGTTTAAAAACACAGTCTATGTCCTATGGCTGAACATCTGTTTCACAGGCAAAAAGTCCTAGATTAAATTTCTGTCATTTCTAGATAAAATAGAGAGAAAAGATAAAGTAGTAGATGTAAGAGAGATCTCAAC